ATATGTTTATTATGCCTCCCAGACCCATCCTGTGGGCGGTAGTCCAAAGATTACAGAGGTACATAATGGGTCCAGGGACTGGGGCCCCAAAGTTTTGATAGCTGAACAAATTACTAAGGTAATGAGCTCACAAGTTACAAAGGTAATGAACTCCAGGTAGATCTGGTCACAATCATGTCAAGTTACAAAGGTATTTACAGATCACAGAGGTACATAATGGATCCAGGGACTGGGACTCCAAAGTTTTGATAACTGAACAACGTACAAAGGTAATAAACTCACAAGTTAAAAAGGTAATGAATTATGTGAGTAAGTAAATTTCCTTACTTACGTTTATACATGGCTACAATCATGAACAAATTATAGAGTAATGAGCAGTTCACACGTTCACACCCGGTCACAACTGTAATGAGCTATTGGTGCAAATATTAATTGTTGAGACACACACACACACACACACACACACACACACACACACACACACACACACACACCACACACACACACACACACACACGCACACACACACAAACAACACACACACACCACTCACACACACACACACACACACACACACACACACACACACACACACACACACACACACACACACACACAACACACACAAAACACACACACACACTCACACACACACACACACACACACGCACGCACGCACATGGTAATGCTTTGTTTACAATGAGCAACGTCAGGGTATTTCTCCAGAATGGTCTGTAATATACCACTGTGGATAAAATACTTAGCCATTTCTTGAACACTTCTGAGTGAGTTGTTTCTAAATTCATTAATTTTATCGCACTCCAGTACATAATGACGCAGGGTGTGACAATAGTCCATCTGGCAAAGTTTACATTTCGTTTGGTCTACATCTGGTGGTGGTGATTTAACCTGCCAAAGATACTTGTAACCCAGCCGGAGCCGGGCAGTAGTGACATCCAAGAGTCTGCTTATCTTGTTGGATGCACCATAGACATGTGGCTCCTCCTGCATGATAGACATGTGGCTCCTCCTGCATGATAGACATGTGGGTCCTCCTGCATGATAGACATGTGGGTCCTCCTGCATGATAGACATGTGGGTCCTCCTGCATGATAGACATGTGGCTCCTCCTGCATGATTAGACATGTGGGTCTCCTGCATGATAGACATGTGGCTCCTCCTGCATGATAGACATGTGGGTCCTCCTGCATGATAGACATGTGGCTCCTCCTGCATGATAGACATGTGGGTCCTCCTGCATGATAGACATGTGGCTCCTCCTGCATGATAGACATGTGGCTCCTCCTGCATGATAGACATGTGGGTCCTCCTGCATGATAGACATGTGGGTCCTCCTGCATGATAGACATGTGGCTCCTCCTGCATGATAGACATGTGGGTCCTCCTGCATGATAGACATGTGGCTCCTCCTGCATGATAGACATGTGGCTCCTCCTGCATGATAGACATGTGGGTCCTCCTGCATGATAGACTTTGTGGCTCCTCCTGCATGATAGACATGTGGTCTCCTGATGATAGACTTGTGGCTCTCCTGATGATAGCTGTGGCTCCCCTGCATGTTTGACATGTGGACTCCTCCTGCATGATGAATGATATAGATGACGACTTGTGTCAATTTGGATGACACCGGGCAGTCCAATATCTCAACTTTAAATTCAATGTTTCCATCTTAAACCAGCTAGAAGTGATGTTTTCACATAAACAAGCTGAGAGTGATGTCTTCACATAAACCAGCTGGGAGTGATGTTTACAAATAAACAAGCTGGGAGTGATGTCTTCACATAAACCAGCTGGGAGTGATGTTACAAATAAAAAAAGCTGGAGTGATGTCTTCACATAAACCAGTGGGAGTGATGTCTTACATAAAAAGCTGAGAGTGATGTCTTCACATAAACCAGTGGGAGTGATGTCTACAAAAAAACAAGCGGGGGAGTGTGTCTTCACATAAACCAGCTGGGAGTGATGTCTACAAATAAACAAGCTGGGAGTGATGTCTTTACATAAACCAGCTGGGAGTGATGTCTACAAATAAACAAGCTGGGAGTGATGTCTTCACAAAAAACCCAGCTGGGAGTGATGTCTTCACATAAACCAGCTGGGAGTGATGTCTACAAATAAACAAGCTGGGAGTGATGTCTTCACATAAACCAGCTGGGAGTGATGTCTTCACATAAACCAGCTGGAAGTGATGTCTTCACATAAACCAGCTGGGAGTAATGTCTTTACATAAACCAGCTGGGAGTGATGTCTTCACATAAACCAGCTGGGAGTGATGTTTTCACATAAACCAACTGGGAGTGATGTCTTCACATAAACCGCTGGGATTTGATGTCTTACATAAACCAGTGGGAGTGATGTCTTCACATAAACCAGCTGGGAGTGATGTCTTCACATAAACCAGCTTGGAGTGATGTCTTCACATAAACCAGCTGGGAGTGATGTCTTCACATTAACCAGCTGGGAGTGATGTCTTCACATGAACCAGCTGGGAGTGATGTCTTCACATTATGACGACGTTTGGGTCAGACTTGGATCATTAACAAATCATTGACAAATTTATTGTCCAAATCAGACCGAAACGTCGTAATAAGTTTTTTTTCCTGTGAGAGATGTGTGAGTAACGAAGAGGAAGACATCTCATTATCTGTATCCTAGTGAGACTGTATCCTAATGAGACTATCCTAATGAGATTATCCTAATGAGACTATCCTAATGAGACTATCCTAATGAGACTATTCTAATGAGACTATCCTAATGATACTATTCTAATGAGATTATCCTAATGAGACTATCCTAATGAGACTATCCTAATGAGACTATCCTAATGAGACTATCCTAATGAGACTATCCTAATGAGACTATCCTAATGAGACTATCCTAATGAGACTATCCTAATGAGATTATCCAAATGAGACTATCTAATAAAAATACCCTATGGACTTTCCTAATGGATATTCTAATGAGACTTTCTAATGAGATATTTTAATGAAAACTATCCTAATGAGACTATTTTAATGAGACTCCTAATGAGATTATCCTAGCGAGACTATCATAATGAGACTATCCTAATGAGACTATTTTAATGAGACTATCCTAATGAGATTATCCTAGCGAGACTATCATAATGAGACTATCCTAATGAGACTATTTTAATGAGACTATCCTAATGAGCTATCCTAATGAGACTATCTAATGAGACTATCCTAATGAGACTATCTAATGGGGACTATCTAATGAGACTATTCTAATGAGACTATCCTAATGAGACTATCTAGTGAGACTATCCTAGTGGGGACTATCCTAATGAGACTTCCTAATGAAACTTCCTAATGAGACTATCCTAATGAGACTATTCTAATGAGACTTTTCTAATGAGACTATTTTAATGAGACTATCCTAATGAGACTATTTTAATGAGACTATCCTAATGAGATTATCCTAGCGAGACTATCATAATGAGACTATCCTAATGAGACTATCCTAATGAGACTATCCTAATGAGACTATCCTAATGAGACTATCCTAATGAGACTATCCTAATGAGACTATTCTAATGAGACTATCCTAATGAGACTATCCTAATGAGACTATCCTAATGAGACTATTCTAATGAGACTACCCTAATGAGACTCCAAATGAGATATCCAAATGAGACTTTTCCTAATGGACTATCCTAATGGGACTATTCTAATGAGACTTCCTAATGGGGACTTCCTAATGAGGACTATTCTAATGAGACTATTCTAATGAGACTATCCTAATGAGATTATTTAATGAAACTATCCTAATGAGACTATCCTAATGAGACTATCCTAATGAGACTATTCTAATGAGACTATTCTAATGAGACTATCCTAATGAGACTATTCTAATGAAACTATCCTAATGAGACTATCCTAATGAGACTATTCTAATGAAACTATCCTAATGAGACTATTCTAATGAGACTATCCTAATGAGACTATCCTAATGAGACTATCCTAATGAGACTATCCTAATGAGACTATCCTAATGAGACTATCCTAATGAGACTATCCTAATGAGACTATCCTAATGAGACTGCATACAATAAAATTGTTTCCTAATGTCGTACAGCAGACAATAGCAGAAGATGTTTGCTGAAGGACAAGTTCTCTAGGCAAGGCGTTGTCCCACTACAGGTAGGTTCTAGAGCGTGTGTTATTTACTAGGAAAATAAAACACACACACGAAACAGCGGAAAGAAAGAGTGTGTGTGTGTGAGTGTTGTTTTAAATAAATTTTGCTCTCGATACTGAATTTTAACTAGTAATGTGTTATTATTTCATATGTGATGAATAATATGGTATTTATTAATATTTTCACTTTTTTTATATATTTTTTTCTCTAGCTTTTCAGGAACGTTCAGTGTTTTCACTGAAACTAACACTTTCAGAATATAGTGCCTGAATATAGTGCACCACAACATCTGTGAGAGGTAGATGAGAAAGACAGATTGGTAAGTGTTCGATATCTTTATTCCGTAACGTTTCGCTTACTTCCCTACACAGTAGGCTTCTTCAGTCAAATGCAGAAGTGATAGCAGAAACAGTGTTGATGAAAGGTGATGTAATCAATCCATCATACTTACAGATGCTGGGTCTCAGATCCTGACCATATCTCTAAAGTGGCTGTTGCCGCGTTTACTCCCTCTAGCTTTACATACATATTCATAAAGTTATGTATGTATGTAGTCCTCACCAATTATTCACTCAAGTCTTCCACTTTCTTTGTGTGCAGGAGGGAAGAGGATGCGAAAGGGATGTGTCTGTTTGTGAAGGGGATACTCGCCCTGACTGAAAAAGGCACGTCAACCTGTCGTCATTCCACATCGAGTCTGCGAAATACCAACAATAGTTTATCAAAATGACATATGTCCATGTGCCGGATTTCCACCACCGTGTGCCGGAAACTGGTATTTAACACAGGAGATGAAAGTATCGTCGACAGATGGGGTTGTGAGCGAGGGGTGTCCAGTGTGTGTAAGGTGTGAGACCTCACTACAGTTTAGTGAGTGTCGTGCTCTTCTGCTGCTGCTGCTGCTGCTGCTACCATACCTTTAATTCACAAACAATTATCACACGTCAGTGTTTTGATCGCGTTCTGCAATGGCTTCCTCGCGGGCGTCCTTGTTGTGACACGCGTCTCGGAGGAATCTTAAAAAAAGTTTCGAGGAGCTAAACAAGATCTTTGTTATAAAGAAACTGTGCTTAGTAATTAACGATACGTGTTTGTCAATTATTATAACCCTGATATTGCGAAGTCTCGCTGTGGCTAAGAGAGATCTAGCCAGGGACCATGTTGGTAATGAGTCAGGCAGGACCGGTGGCTGTGGTGGTGATGATGGTGGTGAGTGTGGCGGAAATGAAGGATGCTACATCCCGTTACTACGACTACAGTAAGTGTTACATATATTAACTTTCTATTTAATTATTTCTTTAAGTCACAGTACCATAACTAGAAATAAGATAATATCTTTATCCACTTGGTGGAACTTTACACAAATATGATAATGGTTGCTGGAACTGTTTTTAACAAAATACTTCTACTCATGAAGAGGTGGAATTTAAATTAATTAGTTTTGAGATACTTGAGAATAAATTTGTAAGTGTATTTATTTATGGGCTATCTACATTTTAATGGAAACATCTATGCCTAGCTTGCTACATTGAAAAAGGTTATGGACTGAGACTTCAGAGTCACAGGGTAGACAAGTATATCTCCACCGCGTCACTAAGGGAGTGCCAGAGGGCCTGTGACCTGGCCTTCTTCTCCTGCAAGTCTTTCTCCTACAGGTGAGTCTGTGGGACCTGTAATGTTATCAGTGCTACGTGCTGATACTACATCACCTCTCTCTCTCTCTCTGTTTCCTCCATGTTTTATTACTGATACATACACAGAAGATATTCATAAACATTACGTATACATTTTTTTACAGTTGGTTCCTGCACATTTGACTCCTTTCCTACCCACACTGTCCTACTCTTCCGTTCCTTGTTCCTGCAGTAACTATCCCACAAGGGAGAGGGAGAACTGCCTTCTCTCCCGCGAGGACTCTAGGACCATCCACCTGCAGGATCACCGAGACTTCTACTATGACAGGGACTTCGTCTTCTACGAGAGGTCTTCAGGGCGAGACTGTCGCAGAAACAACCATCTTACTGCCTACCGTGAGTACTTCTCTTTTTTCCCTTCTCGAAAGGGTGTTTTGATGCCAGTAAAAGGCTCTTGATCCAATGAATCAGAAGTAGGTGTTTTACAGGAAATAAGCTGTTACCCAACTCAGTTTAAGTGCCTTTTCTAGCATTCTCTCTCTCTCTCTCTCTCTCTCTCTCTCTCTCTCTCAGGAAGGGTGGAGGGTAGAGAGTCCTAGGTTAGGAAATGACTCATACTAATGAAATAGGTCAACGTGACGGAGTAACCAGTATCCTCAGTGTGACAAGCGTCACCAGTGTGACCAACATCATCAGTGTGACCAGCATCACCAGTGTGACCAACATCACCAGTGTGACCAGCTTCACCGGTGTGACAAGCATCACCAGTGTGACCAACATCATCAGTGTGACCAGCATCACCAGTGTGACCAACATCACCAGTGTGACCAGCTTCACCGGTGTGACAAGCGTCACCAGTGTGACCAACATCATCAGTGTGACCAGCATCACCAGTGTGACCAACATCATCAGTGTGACCAGCATCACCAGTGTGACCAACATCATCAGTGTGACCAGCATCACCAGTGTGACCAACATCACCAGTGTGACCAGCTTCACCGGTGTGACAAGCATCACCAGTGTGACCAGAATCACCAGTGTGACCAGCACCCTCACTGTGACCAGCATTATGTGTGAGCAGCATCACCAGTGTGACCAGCATCACCAGTGTGACCAGCATCACCAGTGTGATCAGCATCATCAAATGTGACAGATCGTCAGTGTGCCAGCATCATCAGTGTGCAGCACCCTCACTGTGACCAGCATTATGCGTGACCAGCATCATAAGTGTGACCAGCATCATCAGTGTGACCAGCATCACCAGTGTGATCAGCATCATCAGTGTGACCAGCATCATCAGTGTGACCAGCATCATCAGTGTGACCAGCACCCTCACTGTGACCAGCATTATGTGTGACCAGCATCACCAGTGTGACCAACATCACCAGTGTGACCAGCATCATCAGTGTGACCAGCATCATCAGTGTGACCAGCATCATCAGTGTGACCAGCATCATCAGTGTGATCAGCACCCTCACTGTGACCAGCATTACCAGTGTGACCAACATCACCAGTGTGACCAGCATCATCAGTGTGACCAGCATCCTCACTGTGACCAGCATTATGTGTGACCAACATCATCAGTGTAACCAGCATCATCAGTGTGACCAGTATCACCAGTGTGACCAACACCACCAGTGTGACCAGCATCATCAGTGTGACCATCATCATCAGTGTGACCAGTATCACCAGTGTGACCAACATCAGCAGTGTGACCAGCATCATCAGTGTGACCAGCATCATCAGTGTGACCAGTATCACCAGTGTGACCAACATCACCAGTGTGACCAGCATCCTCACTGTGACCAGCATCATCAGTGTGACCAGCATCCTCACTGTGACCAGCATCTTCAGTGTGCACTTTACAGTACTACTCAGCTCTTCAGAACTTCTTGCAAGGTCCGTTGAATCTCCTGAGGTTCCTCACTAGTGGAATCTAAAGTAATAAAAAGTATACTGTTAATTTTACTGACTAAGAACAGTAGTAGTGGTAGCAATATTACTTGAAGTAGTTGTAATAGTAAAAAAAACATACCACGGGCGGGGATAGAACCCGCGATCATACTTGTAATAGTAGTTGCAGTAATTGTATGTATAGGAGTAGCGGAAAAAACTGCAGTAATAGTAGTAGTAGTGGTGGTGGTGGTAGTGGTAGTAGTAGTGGTAGTAGTACTAGTGGTAGTAGCAATGGTAGTAGTAGTAGTAGTAGTAGCAGTAGTAGTAGTAGTAGTAGTAGTAGTAGGAGCAGTAGTAGTGGTAGTAGCAGGAGCAGTAGTAGTGGTAGTAGCAATGGTAGTAGTAGTAGTAGTAGTAGTAGTAGCAGTAGTAGTAGTAGTATTAGTAGTAGTAGTAGTAGCAGGAGCAGTAGTAGTGGTAGTAGCAGGAGCAGCAGTAGTGGTGGTAGTAGCAGCAGTAGTGGTAGCAGTATTATCATCATTATTATTATTATTATTATTATTATTATTTTATTATTAGTAGTAGTAGTAGTAGTGTAGTAGTAGAAGTAGAGTAGTAGTAGCAGCAGTTTATTGTAGTGTGTAGTAGCAGCAGTAATAGTAGTAGTAGTAGTAGTAGCAGCGCAGCGTAATAGTAGTATAGTAGTGCAGTAAAAGTAGTAGTAGCAGCAGCAGTAATAGTAGTAGTAGTAGTAGTAGTAGTAGCAGCAGCCCGCAGGAGCAGCAGTAGTACTAGTGAGAGTAGTAGTAGTGTAGTAGTTAGTAGTATTAGTGTAGTAGTAGTAGTAGTAGTAGTAGCAATAGTTTGTAGTAGTAGTGTAGCAACCAGTAGCAATAGCGTTAGTAAGTATAGCATTATAAGAAACCGTGTAGTAGTAATACTTACGAGATGAACTAACTACAATAGCACCTCACGTTAACGAGGTGAACACGGTGTCAAAACACAAGAACTGGAAGCCCTTAAATATTAACAAATTCACTTGGTCGTTTTTGGCGCCGCCTTGCACGCAAACACGGAAGTTGGAGAAGGACCCACATAGTACCTTTAATATAACGCAAAAAACCCTAAGGGAGGCCTTTGGAAAAGTTCTTCTGTTGAAACTTGAGGTCCAGTGGGCAAGAAGCCAATTTCAGTTTATTCAGAGGGAAAAGAAGCTTTCTGTGTTACAACGTTCGTAACTAACGCTTGATGCCACTGTATTAATTTATCCCATTCGGTTTACAGGGTGGCGAAAAGGTATTTTAAGGGTAAGAACCAGTGTAACACACTTGGACGTTTACCCGTGCGCCGGCTTCTCGTCGAATATCAGTAAATGCAGGCCTGGAGACAGTTTGATGATGTGACGAGGTAGTTCAAGCAAAACAATCCTTCAGACTTCGTGCAAAATTTTGTTGTTTTTTTTACATCACGATTGGGTGACATTGGGTTCGAGCCCACCCTAACGTTGAATGACCCCCTTTTCTTAGAACTATAAATATAAACCCTTTAACTATAAATATACACGAGACGGTTTAGGGAAAGGGGGGGAGAAAGGCGGTTTAAGAGTGAAACATGAAAATAGAGGGGGAATAGAGAGAGAGATGGTTAAAAACATGGGTGTTAAATTGTATTTTGTAAAAACTGTGAAGCCCCGGTGTCGTGTTTCCCAGTAGACAAAGGCGCGTGACGGTGGGATGTGGGTTGCTAGGCAACGTGGGGAAGCTGGGTTGATTCACTCTTCAAGGTGGAGAGGACATGATGTTTTTGGAGATTATTGATCGAGGAATTAGAAAATACCCAAATTCCCGGTCAAACCTGAGGACCCTTACCCAGGAGGTGTTTAACCTTGAGTATAGAGTTTCCCAAATGGTTAAATAATAATAATAATAATAATAATAATAATAATTTAAAAATAAAAATTAATAAATAATTAATATAATAATAATAATAATGGGGCACTTGAGGAAGGGGTGATGAGTATGGATGCACATCTGATGAATAACAGAGGTTATGATGAATAAGTGATGTGATGAATAAGTAAGATAGCGATGAATATAAGGGTGTGTGATGATGAGTCTTAGATGTTATGTCTTGAGTCAACAACTGTGGGAACTAACTCGTCCTTACTGAGTCAACAACTGTGGGAACTAATCGTCCTTACTGAGTCAAAACTGTGGGAACTAATCGTCTTACTGAGTTCAACAAATGTGGGAACTAACTCGTCTTATGAGTCATCAATGTGGGAACTAAACTCGTCCTTACTGAGTCAACAACTGTGGGAACTAAATCGTCCTTACTGAGTCAAAACTGTGGGAAAATAAAATCGTCCTTACTGAGTCAACACGTGGGAAACAACTCGTCCTTACTGAGTCAACAACTGTGGGAACTAACTCGTCCTTACTGAGTCAACAACTGTGGGAACTAACTCGTCCTTACTGAGTCAACAACTGTGGGAACTAACTCGTCCTTACTGAGTCAACAACTGTGGGAACTAACTCGTCCTTACTGAGTCAACAACTGTGGGAACTAACTCGTCCTTACTGAGTCATCAACTGTGGGAACTAACTCGTCCTTACTGAGTCAACAATGTGGGAACTAACTCGTCCTTAATGAGTCAACAACTGTGGGAACTAACTCGTCCTTATGAGTCAACAAACTGTGGGAACTAACTCGTCCTTACTGAGTCAACAACTGTGGGAACTAACTCGTCCTTACTGAGTCAACAACTGTGGGAACTAACTCGTCCTTACTGAGTCAACAACTGTGGGAACTAACTCGTCCTTACTGAGTCAACAACTGTGGGAACTAACTCGTCCTTACTGAGTCAACAACTGTGGGAATAACTCGTCCTTATGAGTCAACAATGTGGGGAAATAACTGTCCTTACTGAGTCAACAACTGTGGGAACTAATCGTCCTTACTGAGCCAACAACTGTGGGAACTAACTCGTCCTTATTAGTCAACAACTGTGGGAACTAAACTCGTCCCTTTCTGAGCCCAAAAACTGTGGGAACTAACTCGTCATTACTGAGTCAACAACTGTGGGAACTAATCGTCCTTACTGAGCCAACAACTGTTGGGACTAATCGTCCTACTGAGCCCAAAAACTGTGGAACTAACTGTCCTTACTGAGCAACAATGTGGGGAACTAACTCGTCCTTAAATGAGCAACAACTGTGGGAACTAACTCGTCCTTACTGAGTCAACAACTGTGGGAACTAACTCGTCCTTACTGAGTCAACAATGTGGGAACTAACTCGTCCTTATGAGTCAAACAACTGTGGGAACTAACTCGTCCTTTCTGAGTCAACAACTGTGGGAACTAACTCGTCCTTACTGAGTCAACAACTGTGGGAAACTAACTCGTCCTTACTGAGTCACAACTGTGGGAACTAACTCGTCCTTTGAGTCAACAACTGTGGGAAACTAACTCGTCCTTACTGAGTCAACAACTGTGGGAACTAACTCGTCCCCTTTCTGAGTCAAAAAACTGTGGGAAAATAAATCGTCCTTACTGAGTCAA